TTTTTGCTATTAGGTCATGTAGACTTGCTTGTCACAGACCCAATAATGATTTTATTTATACTCACTATTAGAGATGTCCTTGAATGGGTAATTAACCAAAAGAGCAAAATAATTGGTGATGCCACAATTGGCTTTACGGATCTTGTTAAGTGCAAATGGCAACGGTTTATGTTTTCTGATGCTTACTTGAAAAACGCTTTCCATTCATTTAGCTTAAGTAAGCAATATTTCTGGCGAAAACAATGGAAAAACAGAAAGTATAGTTTGTATATTAGAATGTTTTAAAAATTTTTTCGCTGGTAATGAACATTGTTTATGAGGTCTTGCGGGGACTAAGGTCTATTTGCTGATAATTATTCGCGTAAATTTTGATTAAAAATAGCCAAAAGAGGATTTGCTGTGAAGCATGTAAGGTCTGCCTTAAATTTTGAGGGATTTTACTACTCAGTACAAACGTTGTTCCATCATCGATGGCAGAAATCACGTAGGTTTCCCTCTGACTTGGAAATCATAAAAACGCTTATACGTCAATTCAGTGTAAAATGTTTAATGTATGCATTGCTTTCATTCCTGTGAAATGTCGTTTGATAATCATCTTTCCCGAATTTATGCACATTCAGGCCTAGGTATCTTCCTTTTTTGCAATTATGATGTTACCTCTGAGCGAATTGGAGCTCCTACACTTTTAGGACTGGGAATGAAAACAAGTCTTGCATCGGTTGGTAGACTAATAGGGCAATTTTAAAGAAGAATCAAATAAACTTATGGGTGTTACAAACTGTTGCATGATGTGATACCGTCTCTATCTAGGTCTGGTTTTTGAGTCAATTATGCCTTGATTTTAAAAAGTGTTTCGGCGCACATATTCCTTGGATGAACATTTTGCCGGATTCATAACGGTCAGTTGCTCAAGGCGGAGTACCTATAATGCATGAAAAGCAGTGCTGGCTCAATAGTGAATTTCTTTTTTAATTATTCCCACGACGGTGGTCTAACTACATGCCATCAAACAAAATTGTCAAAACAAAAACTCTTCTTCACTAATTACGAGAAGTATTTACGTAGGTGCTGATTTTTATGACCTCCTTTATAGGTTTTTGAGGCAGTAAGAAGCTCATGGTTCTTCAAGAGGATTTCAAACATTAGTACAAAGCAATGCACTGCTTACAACTCTTTTGTTGACATGCAAACGAAGACGTCTTGTATTTAAAATTATTAAGGGGTCTTCATACTTCCCCTTTGAGTTCCACAGCTTAATAAACTGCCCCTGTGAAGAGCGGTGTGATGGAGGGCTACGATGGAGGCTGTTGAGTAGCGGTTGTGGCGGTGGGGTATCAAGTGAGAGTCACCCAGGGTAGTGGGTTAATAAGGTGCGCGAGGCTAACTGAGTTAAAATCGTGTGCAATATTTGCCCCATGTGGCCCAATTTCTGCAGCAGATCCGGATATATGACCAATGGAATCACCATTATTTCTCCATCTGGGACAGGTGTTGTAAACTTGCACAGTCCCGCCTTGGGGTCGGCC